AGATAGATAGATATAGAGATAGATATAGATATAGATATAGATATAGAGATAGATAGATAGATAGATAGACAGATTTGGGAGCTGTCGTAGCTGGCAAAATACATTGGAATAGTGTAGGTGTCAGAGAAATTCCTACCTATCACAACAGTTTGGTGCAGTTAGCAGAGAAACACCAAAGAGAAAGAGAACTAGCACAGGAGGTATATGTGATTGGTTAAACATTTGTTGCACCGGGGAGTTCACCTCAAACTATTGATTTCGTGGCAGGCGCAGGTGTCGGAGAGCCAGAAGCCACGAAAGCAACGAAAGCCAAACGCCACAAAAGCCACGAAAGCCACCAAAGCCAAAAGCCACAGAAGCCACGAAAGCCACAAAAGCCAAAAGCCACCAAAGCCAAAAGCCACACTAGCCACGGAAGCCACAAAAAGCACGGAAGCCACAAAAGCCACGAGAAACAACAAAACATCCTAAAACAAAACAAAAAACATCCTAAATTAAATGGCCCTCCCACAACGAGTCACTCGTTGGCCACTACGTTCCGGCCACTTGTTCTGGTCAACAAAGGAAGGACTTGTTGTTGCACTACTTCTATGGCCACTACTACTATGGTCACTTGTTGTGATTCTTTTCAACAAAGCTACTAGTAACAAGTGCATCGCTACTAGTAACAAGTGCCTTACTACTAGTAACAAGAAGCTATTAGAAACAAGAAGCTAATATTAAATTTGCACGTCCGCAAAGGATGACACGCACAAAACGAAAGGTGTACCAAAACGGACACTTGAAACAAACCCAACTGAGACGGTTGGAAGCCGCTTTTGCACAAGCCTGAAAAAGGTCTTCAGGCTGAAACCTTCAGGTTATGAGCCCAAAGTTGAAGGTGTAAGACCCAGCTTGAGGAGGTCGATCGCTGGGCCGCCCTGCGCAAGCGGAAGCCATGGCCATGATGGTTCGCCGACGAAGACGGCAACCTGGCGATGATGGAGAAGGGGAAGAAGCCGATCCGGAAGGCCTCCCACTACATGATCGGCAGCTGGAAGAAGAGCAGCTTGCTCTGGAGGATGGTGAAGATGTTGGGGGAGAGGAGACATTGGAAGGCCCGAAGGGACCACCTACGACCTTGACGCCGATGACCCCACTCTTCACGCCGGAGCAGTTGAAGGGACTTCATGAAGTGCAGAGCCAAGCTCCTCACCTATATGCTCAAGTCCCGAGGCAGAGTATCTGGCAGCCTGGTCTGGGGAACAGGTCGCCAGAGGAGGTGCAGAAAGAGAGACCCACGTTCCTACCGAAAGAAGAGGGTTCAGTGGGAGTGCTTCCACAGACGAGTACGACGACGGGGACACCATCACCGGCACTGGTGGGCGACCATGTACCAGATGACCAGCGACGTGGACGAACAAGAGAACCACGGGTACCTGAAGTACAAGAGCCTGAAAGTGACAGCGATGGGCGGCAACCTCCCCAACCTAGAGAGCAATCGGTGGTTCAGATCCAAGGGAACGGGCCTGGAGGAAGAGGTCTACATGTTCCAAGAGGCTTTGGACAAACTGGCCCACCTGGGTACATCATGCCCCATGAAGAGAGGAGGGGACCTATGCCGCATCAAGGAGGATGGCAAGTTCAGTTGCATCCCTATGGCCCTGGTCCACCGAATCCACAGGAGATGATGACCATGTTGGCGATGTTGAAGCAGGAGAATCAGCAACTGCAGATTCAGCAGGCAGAGCTCATGGACGCCATGAAGTACCAGAGGGCAAGCCTGGAAGCCAAGGTCCATGACCTACAACGTGAGCTGGAGCAGCAGGCCTTCAGAACGCCAGAAAGCGATGAGCCTGTGAATCGTCAGCTGGAATTGACGGTCGACGAACCTCTGAGAGAGACAGATTTGGAGGTGGAAAGACGCCGGCTGTATGAGTTGACTCCCATGCAACAGTTCGAGCAGCTCCAATCCTTGATGGGGACGGTCACTCCGGCGCCAGCACAACGAGAGAGGTCGAGATCTCAAGGTCCGAGAACTGCACGTCAGGGAGGAGGTCAACCTGAGGGCTTGGTGGCATCTCGGGCGAAGGGCTTCGAACCGAAGGGAGACAAGGGACCGGGAAAGGTGTGGGTCAGCCAAAGAAGAAAGCCACAGCCGAGCAGCCTGGTCGATCTTCAACTGCAAATGTTCGGGAGGAACAATCAAGAGAGCGCGGTGGTGGCATGGCTGATGCGATGTCTATGCTGATCACCTACCTGGTCGACAAGGACAAGAAGCAAGAAGGACCGGAGTCGGTCAAGCCGGGGACGGCCACACTCCCAGTCCTGGCAGAGCCATCCGACACGGCTCCCATCGACCTTGCTGACTGGCTCACTATGGTGGAACCGGCCATGACAGATCTTAGCGACTCGTCAGGCGAGTGGTGGGAGTTGGTGGTGAGCGAAGCAAGGGCCTGGTACAAGCAGTACATCAAGCTTCGTCCAATTCAGCGGGCATCATCCAAGATCGAGCCGTCTGCTGAGTTGCAAAAGCCGAAGTGGGCTCGAGTGGAGAAGAGGGCCATCAGCATGCTGCTTTCTTCAGTTCCCACGACAGTGAAGGAGGAACTGGTAGCAACGAGGACTTTGTCACCGCTGGGGCTGGTGAGCAAACTCATGGTCCTCTATCAACCAGGGGGTGCTCATGAGCGCACCATCATCCTGCGGCAACTTGAAGATCCGCCAGAAGCAGGGTCGCCAAGCGAAGCCTGCATGGGGCTACGACGCTGGATGCGCTGGCTCAGGAGGGCCACCGACATTGGCCTGAATCTCCCTGATGCGATCATCCTCATGAAGGGCATCAACAAACTTAGCAAGCGGATCCTCACTCAACAACCGGATCTGCAATTCAGATGTGCCTTGGTAAAAAACACCTTGCAGCTTGATACCATCCCCAATGAGGAGACTGTTCGGACGTATGCTGAGCATTTGCTCGCTGAACTTGAACAACTCATGCACCGAGTCCGACCGTCTTCGAGCACTACGAGGCCTGGAAATCAGGGAGGTGGACCATTGGCAGTAAAGGCACTTCAAGGGGAAGATCGAGAGAAGAAGGGGGACTCGCCAACGACATCGGCGAAGGGTCCTTGTCGATATTTCCTCACGGAGTCTGGATGTC